CACCAGCGGGCTCAGGCAATCCACCCACCTCAGCCTCCCAAAGGCGCGGGATTACAGGCTGAGCCACCAAGCCTGGCTTGTAGGATTTTTAGAGCCCTTCCTAGGACTCTTCTTCTCTTCCCTCTCCTCCCTCCTGCTGGCTCCCGATTTATGGGCAACTCCCTGAGTGCCTGGGTAACTGCAAAAACTTACAATCCCTGGCTGCTACTACCTCAGGGGCAAGGCTTAGCCTCTGAGCTCAGGTCTGAACCATGGAAACATACCGGAGCTCCAAGGTTATTTCCGAGGACACGGGATTTGCTTGTGCTGTTTGACATGTCTCAGGCACTGTGGCAGATAGAAGATGGACTTGCACACTTGTCTTGGCCAAACCTCACCTGCCTCTATGAGTCGGTGCTTGTTGGGTCTGAACCTGCCTGTAGCATCATGTTACAGTGAGGTCAGAGACACACAGTGGTTCGGCGAATTTTCACCAATAATTCAGAGATGATTGGTAGAGCCACGTTTATTTTATGAATAGTCTATTGTATGACTTCCTAAATCACTCTGAGACTGAGTTGGAGACAATACAGCAGAGGGGTTGTGTGTGGGGGGGTCCATTGTCAGTTGCGCCAGTTCCAATCCTGGTGTCCCCACTTGTTACTTAACCTCCCTCAGTGTCTTCATCAGTAAAATGGGGGTAGTAGGCCGGGTGCGGTGACTCATGCCTGTAATCTCAGCCCTTTGGGAGGCCAAAGTTCAAACTCCTGAGCCCAGGAGTTCAAGACCAGCCTGGGCAACATAGTAAGACCTTGTCTCCACAAAAAAATTTAAAAATTAGCCAGGCATGGTGGTACACACCTGTAGTTTCAGCTACTCAGGAGGCTGAGGTGGGATAATCGCCTGAGCCCTGGAGATCAAGACTGTGGTGAGCCGTGATTGTGGCACTGCACTCTGGCCTGGGAAAGTGAGACCCTCACAACAAAGAGAGAGAGAGAATAACAACAGCTGCCTGATGGGCTGTTGGGAGATGGTGCACGGTGAGACCTAGCTGAAGGTTAGCTTTTTATTAATAATATCCTTCCCTAAAGGCTGCTCTTTAAGTCTTTGCCTACTGTCTTAGCCTTTTTTTTTTTAAGACAAGTTTTCACTCTGTGGCCCAAGCCGAAGTGCAGTGGGCACAGTTCTGGCTCACTACAGCCTCGACCTCTGGGGCTCAAGTGATTTTCCCACCTCAGCCCCTGCCCAAGTAGCTGCACACCATCATGCCTGGCTAATTTTTGTATTTTTTGTAGAGATGAAGTTTCGCTGTATTGCCCAGGTTGGTCTCAAACTCCTGGGCCTCTCAAAGTGCTGGGGATTATAGGTGTGAGTCGCTGCGCTCCACCTTGAACATGAGTTTTGATGGGTACTTTCAAGCCATTGCACCCACGTTGGGAATGGGGAGTTGAGGACATTCTGTATGTTTTTCCCTCCTTCCTGCCCTTTCTTTGCCAGAAAAGCTGGGAAATGAGCCATCTTTATAAACCCATAAATATACCAGGTGACAGTAGAGTCTGCCTTTGGTCTTTCTGTGTCAGTGGTTCTCAACCGTGTACAGTGGAATCACTTGGGGAGCTTTTGCAGGGCTAAGCCTTGGCCACACCCAGACAATGACATAAGAACCTCTGAACTTGGAACACACATACAGTATTGGGACTCTCCTGGCTGATTTCAATAAGCAGCCCTGGGTGAGATCCACTGTGTGCCTTAACTCCCAGTGAATATGGGATATGGAAGCAGAAGCTTGGGTTCAAACCCTGGCGTTTCTATTTAAGCCCGGTGACTGTGGGCAGATGCATAACACCTGAGTCTTGGTTTCTCCTCTGAACCCCTAGAGGTAAGAGGATACTAGCCACCTTGCATGATGGCCCTGCTGATTAAATGGCACTTGTGCAGTTGTTCCCATTTGAGCATCAACCGAGCACTTTTCTTTACATTATTGTGTGGTGGTAATCCTAGTTGTGTGCTACTTTTGGGTTTTTTGGTTTTGCTTTTTTTTTTTTTTACATATCAGCTGTGTTTTAAGTAGATTATAAGCTCCTTGGGACAAGGCTTTGGAGTTTTAGAAGTCACTTATGCCATAGCACCTAAGATACAGAGACAGGCCGTTAGAGTTTTAGAACTGGCATCACCCCGAGCGAGATCTCACACACTCTGAGGCATTGGATCATACTTGCTGGTGAATATGCAAGTGGTAAAGACTGTGAAAGAGGAACCTGTGAGTCAGATGGTTGTGCCCAACTTCAGTTGGAGTCCCTGTCCTTCCTCTCTCAGCTAGCAGTCTTTCTGGCTTCAGCTTGGATGCTTGCAGGGGGTGGGGTCGGAGGAGGACGTCAGGGCAGTCAGAGCTGGGAGAGTGAGTGTGTCTACACTTCTGGCCCTCGGCTCACCCTGCATCTCTCTCCTGGCAGACACAGGCATGGCAAGCTCAAGCAGCAGTTCACCATGGGGCAAGCTTCTGTTCAAAGCCATCCTGATGGTCCTGGTGGCTCTCGTCCTCCTCTACTCAGCGTCGGCCCAGTCCCATAGAGACTTTGCACCACCAGGGCAGCAGAGGAGAGAGGCCCCAGCTGATCTCTTGACCCAGATAGGGCGATCTGTGCGGGAGACCCTGGATGACTGGATTGGGCCAGAGACCACGCACCTGGTATCAGAGGTAAGGAAGGGAGGAGGAGACATGTGGCGATGGCCACCTCATTTTGGCCCTGTGCCCTCTCTGGGTCATAGTCTCTGGTGTAGAATCCCCTCCCCATTCCAAAAAAGAAGCTCCCAGCACTTGCCTTTCACACCCTCACTGATTCCTGCCCAAGGGCATTTAACTCCACCCCCGTCTTTCCCTGGTTTCTGTCCTCCTTTTGCCAGAAAAGCTGGGAAATGAGCCATCTTTATAAACCCAGGTCACTGGGTGGCCAGAGTCTGACTTTGGTCTAAATCTAGCCTAAACTCTTGAAATGGCAAAATATTAAGAGCTGAATCCATTCTTACACCTGTACAAGTGGGGTGGAATTAAAGCAGGGTTGTCTCTTTTGCCTAATGGCATCCCAAGCATGGTGTCACATACTTTTGATAAGGTCACACTGAGGGGCTGAGACAATAGTGTATAAAATCCATAGTATAGGTGGCCGGGCACAGTGGCTCACGCCTGTCATCCCAGCACTTGGGGAGGCTGAGGCGAGAGGATTGCCTGAGCCCAGGCATTCAAGACCAGCCTGGGCAACATGGCAAGACGTCTTCCCTACAATAAATCAAAAAAATTAGCCAGGTGTGGTGGTGCATGCCTGTAGTCCCAGCTACTTGAAAGGCTGAGGCGAAGGATCGCCTGAGCCCAGCAGGTCAAGGCTGTGGTAGCCATGATCATGCCACTGTACTCCAGCCTGGGGAGCAGAGGGAGATTCCAACTCAAAAAAATAAAAATGAAATACATAAAATCTACAGTATGTATAGCTGATAGACTCCTTTTTCATTGAAAGGTCCTAGCCCTTTATAGATGTTTTGTCACATACCTTCATGATTCCCTGGGAAACTAGCAGGACTCTAGTGTTATAGGGTGACTGCTAAAGTGTTTGATGAGCTCCCCCGTTCACACACAAGTGCACCTACTACTGCTTTCAAAGTGTCCCAGCAAGTCAGTGGAATTTAGTCCCAGCTGTCCTGGTTTCCAGTTCTGGAGAAATGGCCCATCGTCCATCCCCGGACATCCCTGGGAGGCAGATGTGCAGTGGCCCCCTCAGCCAGGCCCAAGACCCTGACACCTCCGACCTAGCCCCATCACCACCAGCTGAGAACCAGGTGGAAGCCGTTCCTGTGAGCCAGGCCCGAGCCATGGTGACCAGGCTTGAAGGAGCGGGCATTGTCGGTGATGAGTTCAGCTGACCTCGTGTTCTTTCCACAGACTTTGTCCCAGGTGCTGTGGGCCATCTCTTCAGCTATCTCTGTGGCCTTCTTTGCTGTGTCTGGGATCTCTGCGCAGCTGCTGAATGCCCTGGGGCTGGATGGTGAGTGGCAGAGGACTGGGTCGTCGGCAGGACCTTGGCCTGTGCCTTCCTGTGTGGGGGGTTTGTCTCTGTCAGCGTCAAGCTGCTTGACACTTCCCAGTTTTCCCCAGAAATGTGTGAAAGCAGGCTAGGAGCACCACCATAGTGTACCAGTTGTTTACTTCCTATCGGGCACCCTGCTGAGCCATAGTGTCTCATTTAATTGCTAACCACGCAGCAGGGGAGGCAGGTAGAATTGTTTCTATTTAAGTGAAACTGAGGCCCAACAGAAGCAAGTAATCTGCTCAAAGTCCCACAGCCAGCAAGAAACTAAACTAACCAGCTAAGGAAGCTAACCAGCTCAACTAAACCGACCAACTAACTACACTAAACTGACCAACCCACACCTTTCAGAGCCCGAGAATGGATTACTCCCCTCACTCCCTCAGTCCCCAGCCCCTCGCCCTCCCCTCTCCTCCAGGTCAGCTGACTGACTCCCCAACTTCCAGGTGACCACCTCACCCAGGGCCTGAAGCTCAGCCCTGGCCAGGTCCAGACCTTCCTGCTGTGGGGCGCAGGGGCCCTGGTCACCTACTGGCTGCTGTCCCTGCTCCTGGGTTTGGCCTTGGCCCTGCTGGGGCGGATCCTGTGGGGCCTGAAGCTCGTCCTCTTCCTGGCCGGCTTCGTGGCCCTGGTGAGGTCAGTGCCCGACCCTGCCACCCGGGCCCTGCTGCTCCTGGCCCTGCTGACTCTCTACGCCCTGCTCAGCCGGCTCACCGGCTCCCGGGCCTCGGGGGCTCAACTGGAGGCCAAGGTGCGGGGGCTGGAGCGTCAGGTGGAGGAGCTGCGCTGGCGGCAGCGGCGGG